ACCAGGTGAGAAATAGATTCAGATCTTTACTATTACCTTGTAGGTACTTATCACGCATGTATATTTTTATTAGGGGCTCTTGCAATGGGCGTGGCAAGTCAACCTTCTTTACCTACTTCAAAGGATGGTATTATGGTGGAAAGCGACGCTCATCAGATGATTATGCCTCAAGTAGTAGCTAACAAAAAGCGTACACATCGGTTGAAGAGGTTGCTGCAAAAAAATTCCTCCGAAGCCTACCTTTGCTTCGGGTAAACAAGAGTCTGACGAGACGAGGCAGTTAACGACAACCCAGCTTCAACGATTAGTTTTAGTTGGACAACTGAAAGTTGCTCGTTTCCAACAACAATATTACGCTGCCAAGCTAAAATATTTAAACGAGGCATCAAACGAAAAATCCCCGCAAGAGTATATTGCAGCACACGCAATTATAATTTTTGGAATACTGGTCAGTTTTACTCTGCATCCATACTTCAGGATAGGAAACCGCCGCTTTACTTGCAAAAATGTATGCTCAATCACAAATCGCTCTGATGTAAGCAGCCTGTTAAAGACTCTCTCATATTCCTCGTGGGTGTCGGTGTAAGGAGTCATAAGACATGACATTATACCATACCCACTGTCCCCTAGAAGAATAGTGTTTCTTGTCTTTTTCATGACTTCACACACTGCCGAATTTTTCCATATACGAGCACCATGGACTGATGCAGGCCAACTTGCATCTATATTACTTATAACAGAATTCTGGTCGCATTTAACCTGTACATTAATACTGGAAGAACCTTTTCGATTTACATATTCGTCTCCAAATTGGGCTGGTTTTCCATCAAGACGAATATACGTGCAGTCGATAACTCCAATAGCTGTGGGAAAACGGAACCTGGTCAACCATTTCTCTTTGGCCTGCATAATTTGATTTTCTTTATTTGGGAACTTGATAAATTCTCCGTACAATTCGCTCTAGCACATCATGAAATATTCTGGACACTGTGGGCTGCGAACATCCCAATTCTTCAGCTATTCCACTCTGAAATCCAGGGTTCGCACAATAAAACAGAAATATTTTCATTTTCTGCACAGGTGACTGAATGCTCCACGAGTTTCGAAATCCATGCCAAGAAAGTAATTTGCCAACCACACCACATTTTCCTCCTCAAATCTAAACAACGTCTTGAAATCTCACGTCTCGGTTTGTAGTATTTTCTTGTACGTAAATGCACTACATTAGCCATAACTAACACAATACTGTGACTAATCAACCAAAGTTCACTTAAACAAGCCCTTACAGATAGATTTTATTAAACGAAAATGCGCAAATTTTAAGATGCAGGCTCTAAGATGCCGGGAGAACTAATGATAAAATGAGGAAAGTTGCTATAACCTAGATTCCTTTTTTTAGAAGCAAATCCTTTAGCTTTAAGCAAATGCTTCTTTTTATAAATAAGAAAACGTTAACACATTATACTTTATAGAAGCGAGACCTTTTCCTTCACTTCTTTTTATGCATATACTTTGAAGGAATTGCTTTATTTTTTGAAAGCAAAAGGTAAAACTTTTTTTATAAATATGGACTAAGGTCACAAAAAAAACAATATAATGTCAAAAAAAATCGACATAATGTCACTTTTCACGATTCGTAATACCCGTGCCGATTGTGTGAAATTATCGGAAATCAACGGCCTGAAGGAAAACGTGTGCATGGGCCCTTAAACAGTACATACATCATATTCTCAATATGCCAAGTTGCTTGCTTCACTAATTTGATGCAACTTTCACCATATTTTGAATTTTCTAAAATTACGTGCGCTTACATCAGCGCCTCCAGGAATGTTTTAACAATTACAAGAAAATGGCGTTCGCAAAAAAGCGTCGCGTGCATGAGCCCCTAGAGGGCAGTCCCGCCAAGTGGCGCCAATGGAATCGGCGTAGGTTTGAAAAAATGGACAATGCAACGAGTTTTTTGGCAAAAACTTTATTATACTGAACGCATCACTTGGAAACACATCGTCGAATTGAATATCTCGCCCCATCCGGAAATTAAAAACGGAAATCTGCTCGGCCGATGGGTCGGAATGGCTATCGCTTTTTATTATTCGGTCGTTATATGGTCATTCCGTTAACAGTGTGCAACACCACTATTGAGCGAATACTGATAGACATTTTTTACATTGATATTTGCACGTCAGCAGCTCCGGAATTAACTTCTCGTCAAAACAACATTGCAGAAGCTCCAACTCCAATTCCTTTCCGTAACGCATTTCAACACATGCTTAAGTTATATTATTGATCAGTGGAGTTTGTTGTACAAAGTTCCACAATGGAATATACTAGTTGGTTCGTTACTCGTTCCACCCGATTCTAAGCTTCACCCAATTCAAAATGCAATTCGCAAACTATTATTAAAATCTGCTATGTACCATATCAAATTTACATATACATTTTAGAGTTTTGGGATATTATTAACCACTTTTTCTTATTAATTCTAATTTTCATACTCGCGTCCAGAATCTATATACGAATATAATATTTTTTCCATCTACATCTTAATTAGAATGTGAGCAGTTTATGGAATAAAACATTGTCAGGAATGGCCTCTTGTTTCCGCAATTGAAATGAAATACTTTTCTACGTTTTATTCGCCCAAAAACTAACAGCACTCGCTTAACCGCGCAGAACAGTTGTCTTTAGAATGAAAGATAAATAATAAAAATTAAGCAACCTTAGTAGCGTTTGTATTATGAGGTTTATGGAATTTCATAGAAGCAAACCTCGTTTACAGATTACGTTACATTTTTAATCTAGATCTACTTTTCGCGAGTTGTAAATAAACACAGTATGACGCTTAACAATGCGAATAGAGGGTGATTGTGCGGATAGAGGGCTAAAGAAAAATCTAAAGATTACCCACCATCAGAAGAACTAATGCGTTTCTATTATAACAAAATAGCATAACTGGAATATTGCAAAAAAGATTTGGTGATTCTAAAATCAATAATACAAATAGATGCATCATACATTCCAATTATTCTTAGATATGCTAGATAAGTATATATGGAATGGGTTATGAATGAAACAAAAACATTGAACTCTTGCGTTCATTGATACATGATTTGAAATTCTTGGAAAAAAGTAAATGACTTTGAGATTCACTAAGTAATACCTTTATAGATACTTCAATTATTAAAATTTAACTCTTGTCTGTTCAATGTATTTTTATATAGGCTTCAATATTTGCAGGGTCGCAATTAGAGTATCTAACAAAACACAATACACTGCATAATAGAAGGTGCTGACAGCAGACTAATGTGACTGTAATCCTGGAGAAATATACAGCCTTCTTTGGAATCATCAACACACCACTAATGGATTTAGAAAAATTGAAGATTTATTGGCTATTGAAAATTCTTTCGAAATTTCATTTTTTCTCCCTACATCTTCTACCACGTGCTAGCCGACTGACAGTGGCTAGTGACATGTGAGCTTGACATTGTTGGCTTTTGTTATCATATATAATATACTTCTGGAAAGCTGAAGGAGCTATACGAGCATATTCGGTGTTACAAAAGCAGCGTTCAGATAATAATAATATAGCTAAAACAATTTGATAGCATCTTCACAGGTTTTACTTTCTGTGATTAAATCGACAGCATTTCTTATGGTGCTTCTAAACAGGCAATATTTTACTGCATTATTTAGCTGGAATAGGGATTTAGTTCTTGGCTCACCACCAGGTACAGGCTACATTTGAATGGTTAAGTGAGCTTCAGGAAATGTTTGACACATGAGTGTTCGCACTGTTAGCAGATGTTACTATATATAGTCTGATTCTTACAGCGCTTATACCTTTGTTCTTTTGCATTTTGAAAGTTGGGACTTGTGTATACAATAATATTATGTCATCAGCTTCAGGATTAACTTCATATAAAAACAGCATTGCTGAAGCCTCCATAACCCATATCAACACATTATCAAGTTATATCGTTGAGCACTCGTTGTACAAGCTTCCGCAATAAAGCACAAAAGTTGACAAATTGCGATTGCGAGCTATTATAAAAATCTGATATGTATAGCCTTAGTCATATTAAAATAATAATAAACAGAAGCATTTTACAACAGGTAAATTGTTGATAGTAAAAAGTCCGTTTGGCGAGTATCATGTATCCGTACTTTTGTTAAATCTCAACTCACATTAACTATTAACTCAGATGCTCTACGAAAAAAATGAACGATTGTTTCTCAGAAAGGTTTAGTGAAGTACTGAACCGTCATTGAGTTCATTTACTGAGTGGTTGATTTATATCACCGTGAATGATTTCAAACGTAGTAAAGGTAAGCTGACATCTATGTTTTTTCAGCCCAACTGCATGATATTTCCTTAACAGGGTAAATCCGTGCCACATCGATTTTCCCGGTTCGACGCTCACAACTCACAATAGATGTCACAGGAATCGTATATCCACTACTCGTGTGACATCGATTTAATAAGGCCTCATAGAAGAATTTCTTCAACAGAGTTTTGTGGGAATCAGCGTCGTAAACGATACATTGGGATTTCCACCGCTAGGTGGAGCACATTGTGGGTATTTCTACGTATTGTTAGCACATGTTACTATATATAGGTATATATATAGTCTGATTCTTAGAGCACTTATGTGTTTGTTCTTTTGCATGTTGAAAGTTGGGACTTGTGTATACAATAATATTATAGCACCAGCTTCAGGATTAACTTCATATTTAAAAGCTCTGCTAAAGCTTCAGCCTTAATTTCTCTCCATTATCCATTTCAACACAATATCAAGTTATATGGTTGAGAGTTTGTTGTTCAGGGTTCCGCCCGCAATAAAATGCAGTGGTTGATTTGTGACGCGTTTCAGCTAAGTTCAAGCTTTGTCAGACAACATAGATTGCAAGCTATTATGAAAATCTGATGTGTATGGTCTTAGTCATATTAATCATAATAAGAAACAAATTACAGATCGTACATGCAGTACCTATAATGAAATTAGTGAGCAGCTTAACCCTGCAATACTAACCTTCAATTGAAGTAGCGTGAATACTAACCATTCGTATATTTTACGACTGTGAAAAGGGCAGCAAAAAAAAGGTTTTTCCAAAAGAATTTATTACAGACTTGTATTACATATGTTTATTTGGAGTTTCAAAAGAGTGTTAAATGATAAATTATTTATCGGCATCGCATGTTACACAACAACGGGCACGATGTTCTGCGCAAAATGCGCGTCGGCAATGGGTGCAGTATAGTGACGTCATTCGGCGTTTTTTTGAGGGGCAGATATAACAAGTGGTGCGTCTGAGAGCAGGAGGTTCTGTTTGATCGTTCGGAAGTGGCAATCCAATTATATCACTGATTAAGAGCTTGAGTGAGCGTTGTAAAGTTGGCACTCTTAAGCGTTGTTCTAACCATGGTCTTACCAATTCTTCATGCAGTTGATTCATAAAGGCCTTCCTAGTTATTGTCTGTTTACCCCGTTTTTGCAAATTATGGTTATATATTATCCATGCATTAATACTTGCCATATTGAGCATTCCGAAAAACATGCACAAGGGCCATCTGCGAGTTTTTCTCGAACAACTTCTATTTCCACACATTTGATCAAATGCGTCTACCCCTCCTTTTGTCTGGTTGTAATGCAAGATAATCTCGGGTTTTTGGGTATTTTGACAAATTCTGGATCCCTCGTGCATGGTAGACAAGACTAAAACGCTTTTATTCTTTTTAGTTTTGTAGGATAATAAAGTCTTTTGCTGGTCAAAACAGAATAAAGAGCTTCCTACTTCTCTGTTTTGTAGGTTGAGCATTTCAGGAGGAATTTCGCGTTTGTTTTGTCTCAACGTTCCAAGAATCGTTAGGTTATATGGTGGTTTTAATAACTGGTCAGCCAGACTAACAGAAGTAAACCAATTATCCATCGTGATGTTGCGGTTACTTCCATGTACATCTTTAGTCAATTTCTTGACGTAGTACTCTGCTAGTGGTACACCGTGAGTGCTGGTGTGTTTTCCAAGGTAAGGCTCTGCATTTAGCATATATTTGGTCCCCATATCACATGTCATCACAATCTTTATTCCATATTTGGAAGGCTTGCTCGGAATGTACATTTTGAATGGACAGCGGCCTCTGAAGCCCAATAATTGCTCATCGATTGTGATGTAATTTCCCGGTTTATAGGAACTGTTGCATTTTGTAACAAATTGATCCCAAATCTCTCTAATAGGCGCGAACTTATCGACAGTTCTTCTTTCGTTACGTGTCGCTTTATCATCAAATCGCAGATTATTGATTAGAAATTCAAACCTCTCACAACTCATCGTTGCCCTATAATAAGAACCCGATTTCCTCGAGTCAAACATTTCCCTAGTGCTCAAGTGATTGTCTTTTTGGGCACCAGCAAATATAAGCAACCCAATGAGGGCATTCAATTCCTGTCTGGTCGTGGTAGAAACAGTAGATTTAGCCACCGTGTAGTTTTCACATCTTATTGCAATGTGAGCATTTGTGTGCTCCAAAATTTTGCCAAAAATAGATTCGTCGAATAAACACTGGAATGCACCTGAAGGACTATCGGCATCGCGTGCCGCCCCAGATGGACCTTGCATCACGTGAACGATGTTTCGTTGGGCAACGCGCTTACGTATGTTGGACACTGTACACCATCGGTGACCGTTTTTGCCCCGCATCCCCTTGTTGAGAATAGTTTCATGTGGTTTATCTCCCAAGTTATGTAGATCTTCATTATCGCTAATATCCTGATTACTTCCCCCTCTTTCTGTTTGAGAGAAGTTTTCTATATTGGGTCTCTGTGTTTCAATCTCCTGGTCATTTGATACACTTTGTTCATCTTCCAAATTTTGTGCAGCAAGCTGGTCTACTTGGCCATCTCCTTGATCACACTCTACTGGAAAATGTTCCTGTGTTGGCTTCGACCCTCTATTAATTCTTCTCCGCTTTCTATAGTTACATTCATCAGAGTCAGTGCTTTCTCTATCAGATGTTTCGGGCTCATATTCTGATTCAGAAAGACTGAAATCTTCTTCCAAGTTATCCTCAGTTTCTGATCCGCTAGAAAGCCTCCAAAAATCTTCGAGTTCATCATCAGATTTTGGTATTAGGTCTTCTAGTTCCTTCTGAGATAAAGGCCTTATGTCTTCCCACTTCTTGGCCATGCTGTAGTCAACTGAATTCTAAAATAATTCAAAAAATCTTCGTATATGCCCTAAAAAAATTATAACGTAAATACTAACCTTTCGTAAAAAATACGACGAGGCTTCGATTACACACACGTGCGTTAGGTGAATTACTATGACACTAGTCTGCGCTGGTACAGTACATCAACTGAGGAAGCTACACGTGCGGTCAAAATCTTACGTTGGATACATGGTTGCCAATTCTCAAAAAAGAAAAATGCTTTCGTATATTTTACGAATGGTTAGTATTATAGGGTTAAAGGCGAAGTTTAGCTATAACTGCTATTCTCTCTCACACTTAACCATTTACTGCATAAAAATATTAGATGGTAGAAAAGCGCAGTTGTACTTCACATAAAGTGAAAGGATGAAAATCGCAAGAAACCGATCTCAACCTAAAAAAAGTCTTCTCTAGACCCCGTCTGAAGTATTGGGAGAATCTCACTTGATTTCAAAAAATCTAACATTTTCAAATAAATTATTTTTTCCAAAATCCTTGACAAAAGGCTAAACAGACTGATGGGCCTAAGATCCGAGAGATCGGCAGGGTCCCTGACCTTAGGTATTGGACTTACTATTGCTCGTCTCCAAGATTCAGGAAAGTATCATTTCTCTAGACGCAGATTGATAATATGGTTCAAGTAACGTAATATAAATAGGAAGAACAGCTCAATTATGAAAAGATATAGATATATCGACATACAATGTGTCCATCAATATTTCAGTTAAAGTTTGGGCGGCTTTTGGAATAAAAAAATAACTTCACTATTAAATGCATCCCATAAAAGCGATTCTACACTTTATACTTACTCAATGTCAGCGTCTACTGGCATATAAGTATTGTAATAACCCCTCGCTTTTTAAAGTCTGATATTATATTAAAGATCTAATAACATCTAGGCTTTGATAACTTTTCAACTTTCTTACTTATAGCTTGGATCTTCTCCTGATGTAAGAAGTGAGATGCTATAAGAAATAAAACCTAGAAAGACAATATTGTGACTAGGACTGAACTGACTCTTGCAATTTATGAAAAAGCTCAAACGGTTCAAAATGAAAGTAGTGTAGCGGAGTGTATGAGTATATTCATGTCTTGGCTGCCCTGTTAACAGGATGTCATCTAAGTAACCCATTACTACGATATTTGTCTTCTAAGTAGGGCAAAAAGGTTTCATAGTCTTAATAAATAAATAAGGGGCGATATATAAACCAAATGGTAAGACAGAATTTTTTAGATTTAGGAAAAAGCAAGCCCTTGTCATTAGACATACAAGAAGATAAAGCACCAATTACAATTACATGTCTAATGGCAACCTCTCTAATCTCTGCTATTTGTATGACGTATAGCAGGCTCAATTTGGTAACCACATGCTTTTGAAGCATTCTAGCATACCTTACCTCTATTTGTGTTAATTCTGCTCCCTGGTGAATGTGTTTTGCTTCGTGTTCTCCTGGTGGTATGTCAGATTGTCTTTCGATTACAATAATTCTCCTTGCCAGGAAATCCCTGGGTTGGTGCTCTGGTTTGGAAGTTGAACCTCCTGAATAGATTATTTATTTGGAGATGTCAGATGGTGATTTCATCCTCCCTCTGTTGGCGCTTGCACTTTAAAGAAGAGGAGGAAGGGGGTTTTACCGAAAACTGCATATCCTGGGATTTCTCGGGATCTGAGCTGCCTCACATCGTTCAGAACAATCTATCCCAAAAATACCAAAATCGATGGGACTTTCTTGGACAACCGCTGTAATTTCGGTATTTAAATTACGTGTTAACTCATGCCGATGGTGTGTAGAAAGAAGATAGTGGGCATGGGTTCTGCGGCATCTGCAAGTTGTCCTAAGCAGTCCGCAAGGAGGGGATTATGAGCAGACAATTGCAGGATCTTGTTAAATGATGCACCAAAGGTACTTAAGCCCTTACCCAATTATACTTGAGTTGCCAAGTGTGCTAAACTGTTGCAGCGAGGCGAAGTATAATTTGATTATTCACCAGTTTTGTTTTGACTATGTAGAAACTGTATATATACATTTTGTAAGCCTTTTCCAGTATTCTCCACTTGTTTTCACAGTGGCTTTAGTTTACGTTTATTTTTAGAGTATGGTTTATTGAGCTCGCAATAAACTCCCACAATTTTCTCAATGCTTTATACTCGTAGGTTCCAAACTTTGATTTCTGATTTTTAAACAAATCTAAAAACAACCTTGTTTCGTTGGTGCTCCAATTATTGTAAAGTTGCATATTTTCTTCTAAATCTACAAATATTCAAATAGTAGTGGTTTACGGGAGGAGATTTAAGCTAATTATACTAATCTGTGAAAATCAACCTTCACCCTTCTGCGTCGTCTAACAGCTTAGATACAAAACGTTTATTCTGTTACTTCAGTTGCAATGCAATAGACAGCAAATTATCCGCAATTACATTGATAGCGCTCTGTGACTATGGACCAAGAGCCAGGACGTCCTTCCACAGATTTTACTTTAGAGTGCTGACCTGAAATGTTGATTATCAAATATAAGATGTTTCAAAAATCAAGAAAATTGTTGAATGGCAGCCCAAAAGTGTAGAGCTTGTTACTAGTATCGATTTCACTTTGACTAACAATTATAGTAAAAGATATATAACAGGTTATCAAAATATACGCTACCTGAGGTTGAACGGCACGTTGCTGTGGCAACATGTTCGGTGCGAAAGCGTATTTGATGGCAAACCTTAAGAGGCCCACGCCCATGAATCTTGAAGTACGTTTCTGGTCATAAGTCATTTCTGAAGCCCTTTGTACAATCTATTTGTTTGCTCTGATTAAGCATGCATCACAGAACCCAACCAAGTTTGTTTTGTATCATTGTCTCGACAAACAGAAAAGTTATAAAGATATTTATGCGTAATTAGAGGAACTCAGACTAAAAACGGAAAACCTGTATCTCAGTAACCGTAGCACTTGAAGCATTGCGGTTTTCAATCAAATTCATTAATTAGCCTCGTACAAAAATTTGTCGGTTCATGTACAAAATACACCCTGTACATTTGGAAAAGAAATCTATTTCTAATCTACTTTCATATCTACAGCTGCATGGTATTAATAAAAATTAGGACGGGAAGCTTTGGAAGACTGATGCAAGCGGGATTCGAACTTGTGGTCACAGATATTCCAATACATCGGCTCTAGTCCAGCCTTGTGAAGTTTTCTCACTTTTTTTAATATCGCTAATCCTCCGTTTTCTATGTTCATGGTCGACGAGATGACTACTCATCCGACCAACGCAAACGGGCCCACTAGATCCCTAGATTTTCCATATGAAAGAACAATCACCTCCACCGCTTTACCAGACTCTTTTTGAAAATCCACCCCTGCTCATTCTGCCTGAGCCGTCTTCGATCGCAGCATCCCGGTCCTTCGGTCGTCGCCGTTATCGCTCGGAAATTTTCGCAGCTCATCACCGACCGACGTCCCTCAGATAGATCGCATCATCCCAGTAGGCGCTCGTAACACGCCATTTACAAATAATAATAAACAAAAGCGCGTCGCGAAAACACGGCCAACCGCGTTATTGCTTGTTATCGTTTCATCGGTCGTTCAAACACAGTGTGCTATGACGGAAGTTTGCCCGGATCCATCTTCAGGGCAGGAGAAAACTAGAAGGGAGCATCAACAACAAGCCGGTGAGTGGCTGAAAAAATCTCTGGACGGATTCATTATTTCCAGGCATGACAAAAGGGTGGAATTGTCAATGTTAAATCTGGAAGTTCCTCGTGTTACAGCACATGGTCAAAAAATTTTTACCCTGCGGAATCATTCGGACATTCCTCTAGTTCTTTCTATTCGTACTCAATGCAGTCTGAAGTTTTATGTTCTGTGATCAGCACATCATATTCTGTATTACCTAATGTGATTAGCTAATACTCAAAAAAACGTAAAACAAAATTATTTGTCCTTTTTTCTTTAAATTCCGTATCAAAATGTGAGCTCCATTGTACTTAATTCGAAAAATATAAGTAGTCATCAAACTTACATAGCTATAAAATGGTAATTATGAAACCTTTTCGAATGACCAATATTATAATGTACATATTCCATATAATATGTAACTGCAGAAGTTTGTGAGCATTTGTAGCTACCTCAGTCTTTGGCCACTATTAGCGAAATGTCACGTAATTATAATAGAATACAAGCTAACCTTTGGAAACGGACATCCTTAAATGCCACCTTTGAAGTAACCTCATAAAGGTTATCACGTACTTGTTTTCTCTTTAAACGTTGATTGGTCAGCTACACCAGGAATCAAAATAAAACATGCATAAACAGTAATTCAGGTGTAGGTATTAAGCAAGATCCTCTTCAGTAGGTCTACCTTTTTTCGTTTATTTGTTTTTGGATTAAATCTGTATAAGATATTCAGTGAAAAATGTTTTATGGAAAAAATCACACTCCCATAATAACCTATTTGTGGTATTTTGAATATAAATAAGATGTCTAGGAATACCATTGTCAAGGGGTTATTGCAGATATAGATCAGCAGGGGTATTACATGATTTGAAAAGAGTGACATTATGTCGTTTTTTTTTTGGTAATAACTCTGCCTGTAGTATATTCGCATCTGATGGGAAAATATAATAGGGATTTTTTGCATAATCTTATTCACATAGGACCTCTTTTAATGGATCTTCATGTCGCCAGACCAAAATTTAGGTCAGTACTCCTTTAGAACAATTTTTTTAAACAAATTCCAAACATTAGTAGAGGTTGATATTTGAAAAAGTGAAAATATGCCATTTCCGATCCCGAAAGACAATAAGGAAAAACAAAAATTTTAATGTTGCCGCATTTCTTAAATATCTTATAAACATCCATTAACAAAATTCCAAAGCATTCCAAAATTTCCTCTGGATGCTTTGGGATTTTGCGAATGGATGTTTAAAGAATATTTAGAAGATTCGACAACATTAAAATTTTTGTTTTTTTATATTGTTTTTGGGGTTAAAGATGACATATTTGCAGTTTTTCAAATATTGTATCCCTTATAACTCGAAAACTATTAGCTTTTGGAAAAAGCTCTAAAGCACCTCTTTTGTCAGAATATCTCACACAACTTCCGAAAATGTGGGCCTGGCAACATTCACATTAATTACAAGGCGTCCTTTTTGATCAAGAACAATCCGAATTAGGAAATTTTTCCCATCCGATGCGAAGGTCTAACAGTAAAAAATTTTCCAAATAAAAAAATTGATAAAACATTTAATCTTCTGTGAAAAATCTGAAAGGTGTCAATTACACGAATGTGAATCATTTTCACAACATTCACACAATTCGCCAAAAAACTTTACACGGATGACCCTCTTCCCTATCATATCTTGGACCTGAGAAAGGTTCTCCATGAAACAAGTTATATTACTTATAAGAACGCTTCTCTGACAAAAATTCAAAGCGCTTGTCTTAATTATATTTTATGTGGCCCAATTTCTTGCTTACATATCAAAAAATCAATGAGTTAGGAATAGGACTTCGGTTTGTTTACATGGGTATGAGGGAGAGTCTTATAATCATCAAACTATCAAGTGCATCCTTCAGCTATAAAGTATGAGAACAATAAAGGTGTTTAATTCGATATTTCCAAATGATACGGAGTATGTATGCTACTTCATTACTGCAAGTGTAGCGCTTGGTGTCCAAAATAAAGTAGGGTGCAATAAATTAAAATGAAGTTCATATAAGATGAAAATCTCGAATATCGTTTACCTTGGTTGACGAGGGTTGATTCTTATGCAGCACCTTTTCTTTTGTCGTGTCGTCTGTAAGATTTTGGAGGGATTGATTACTTCATCCGTTCTTCATGGAGTGATGAACTATGCTGATGACGCAAATCAGTCTATTGAAAATTCCATCCCTTAGTTGCAGCCTAATTTACACCATACAGCCATACAGATTTTTCAGTTATCTTGCATACAGGCAGAATGAGAATTAAAATTTCACTTTGTCAAGCTACGAGAAAAATGTTTGCCACTAAGTAAATTCTAGTGATAATAATTATAGGTATGTATAGTGTGTATGTATATAGATATTATGTGTAATAAAAGAGTGTTTTCTCACTTGTATTTATAGGTACATAGGTAGTAATTACGTATAAGCATTTTTAGTACGATATTTTTACGAATAAGTGTAATCGATTATTGTGAAGATGAAGTGGATTTTTATGAATCAACATATTATAGTCTCTGTGTTCTGGTTTAGATGTATTACCTCACCTGATAAGATAAGAGAATTTTTATAACGCTTGTAAAATGAATAGATACATGGAATTATAAAATGTGTTAATGAGGAAGCGCCTTGCAAAGGAAATAAACATTGCAAAAGTGTTTTAGAGCTTTTTATAACATCAGAGTGTTGATCATTTTGTACTTTACTATTCGGAGCGCACTATGCCAAGCTATTTTTGAGTATACATGTCACTGTGTAACTAGTGTTAGTCACTAAGCCCAACAATTTGCCTGTTGTAAAATTTTTCATATCATTTGCTAAAATGATCATAGAAAACTCGCCATATAGTAAAAGATGGTAAACGAACAGTTATTCCGAGAGATTCCTATATCGACTTCTTGGGAATTACCATGTTTATATCCTAAAACCAGTTCAGCTCAAATTCGGAGCTATGTCAAGCTTCAACATTTCACTGAAAATGTGTATTCCCTTATTGTATAGATACATCCGCGTTATCTCAGGAACCCGTCTGAGAATAGTAGAAGAAATTGTTCAAAATAAGGCCATCATTTTTATTATTGCTTAAAAAACATGAAAAGTTCACATTCCTCTCCTATAAGATCTATTGCTATCTTGATGTAGTCAACATTATCAGACTCTCTTCTTTTTCTCTAACAACTGTAAATCTCTTCAATGGAAAGCGGCTCTAAATTGCACAAAAGTCATATCATGTCTCAAAGATAACTCTCTTTTTCTCCAATTCTCGTTGTGCCTTATGCATTCTCATGCCAAAATTCACTACGAAGTCTTCTGAGTATAATTCCCCGATTCAACGGTAGTTTTGAACGTGTCTTCCAATAGTTAGTTGGATGTGTGTAACATTTGCTTTGCAACACTAAGCATCGCTTTCGTTACACTTCGATGAGTTATAGTTATGATTGAACAAATAATTTCAAAGACTTGAAAATTAGGTGCGAACGCTTGACCCAGAGGAAAAATGTTCAATTATCATCCAGGATGCATCAAAAATTGACTACGCTTCTTTTTCTGCTCACTGTCTTCTTCCATCCCAATTTTTATTTCGACAAGCGTCAACAGATTTAAACTTTCGAGTAGGACATCATTTA